TACGTCAAACACCACGCTGAACTCTGAACGCGCTTTCGACCGGCCTCATATGACGGCTTCCGCGTCTGAAATCAACTCGCCGAGACGAACGACAACCAACAAAGCATCCGACAAGCTCCGGCCCAGCTGAGGCCAGCCGCTGCATGGGCGCTGCCATCTTTTCTGTGACGTCACGTATTTGGTTTGGTCATGTGACGTGTGGTCAAATTTGCGTACAATGGCAGCCTCCTTATGGGGGTCACTTTCGAGTGCAGACCGGAACCCCGGTTTATCGCTCTAAGCCCCTCTACCTCGTTGCCGTACCAGGAGCGTTTTCGCCGCTAAGCAGAGCGGTTGCAGTGACGCTTGAATGCCGCTGGTGGTGGGAAGCGCGCGCTTGGAGGGCGCGCTCGATGTTTGTTGCCTCGGCGACGAAGGCGTCGACGGTTGCCGGCGGATTGCGGACGAGGCCTCCGAAAATGTCGTCTCTCACCCCGCGCATGAGAACTCGTAGTTTCTTCTCTTCGGTAGCCCGAGGGTCGGCGCGGACACTCAGGCGCAGAACGTCCTCTACGAAGCCGGTGACGCTCTCGTTGGGGCCCTGGGTTCTGGTTCGTAGTAGGTCCTCGGCTCTCTCTCGGCGGTGGTGGTTGCTGAACGTAGCCTTGAGATCGGTCTTGAAAATGTCCCACGACGTCAAAGAGGACTCATGATTCTCGTACCAGTTCTTGGCGGTACCCTCAAGCGAAAAATAGACGTTGTGCAGGCGCTGCTCGTCGGTCCAGCAATTGTGGCAGGCAACGCGTTCATACTGGTCAATCCAGTCTTCGACGTCTTCGTATTGCTCGCCGTGGAATGGAGCAGCCGTCCGTGATGCGACGGGCAGATAATCGACGGCTGGAGCGGCCGGGGTCTCCGACTGGTTGGCCATCGTCGTCTTCCTGGTTTGCCTGGTCCTGGGTGGCAAGGGTCCTGACTCCGGGGGTAGGCCAAGGTTCCGGCGACTTAATCGGATCTCGGTCTGGTCTTCGTTGGGTTCTTGGGGGCTTGTGTTCGGACTTGTACTGCGGGAACTCTGAGGGGAGCGCTGCACGGGCATGCGGTTACCCCGCACCTCCACCAAAATGTCACGGGTGGTGACCAATAAACAAGAAATGAACAGGAAGAAATAAACATTTAATGTGGCGAACTTGTGGCAAAATAAAAGGGTAGAAAAGATAATAACAGAGCGTCGCGGGCGTCGAAGTCGGCGTAGCAGCAGAGTCGAGCGCTGGGGCGAAACTGACTCGACAAGGTCGCGGGCGGCCTCCCATCTAGAGTGCGTCGCAATCTCGAAGATTCGGCGAAAGCGGCCCGAGCGTCGCGCGATCGGGCGAGAATGAAGACGCACTTTCTAGAAAACAAAAGCAGGAATAAATGATAGAAGTTACGTGCGGTACATGAATAAACGAGAACTTTCTGGAGGTCCGCGACCGAGCGTTGCTTTCTCAGCCCTGGGCGCGGCAATATGTACGTACATACTAGAGCAAATTGATCATACTGATTGGTGCTCCAGAGTACACATCACGAAACTGCTAGCGCGAAGACGACATCGGCGCATTTTCGCATTTTATTGCATAAATAGTATTAGCGAGCATGAAATTGCATCGCTCAGATAGAACTAAATGAGCTCTCTCCGTCGCAATACGTACTTGGATGACATCCCTTGGTTTCAAAAAGAAAGCTGGAGAAACCGGCGATCGCTTGTACGCGCTAACAGTGTCGCGCTCTGTACATACTCTTCGTATGAAAAACATAGGACATTCTGGTGTCGCATGACCAACCTCTGAAACTTCACGAACGTTTCTCAAGACTGTGACAAAGCTGAATATTTCGTTCATTTCTACACTTACTGTTACAGCGACGCTAAAGCTTTTCTTCTTTTTTTCTTCACTTAATACCGATGCGATGCTCCGGCGTTTTTTTCTAATACGTTTCTTGATGCTACTGCGATGCTTAACTTTTATTTTTTTAATACTTCACTCGATGTCACTTCAACTTAGGTTCTGTCCCGGAAGCCCTCCATGGCTTTGACAAACCTGCATTAATTTCGACTACTCTCAAAGAGCAACAATAAAGTTATCAATATCGTTATTATTATTATCATTATTATTATTATTAGTATTAATATTATTTCTATTGTTATTTCGTCATAATTGGTGTTGCTTCCTCATAAATCTTTTTTTGAGTCAACATTTTTTTTTTGTGTAGTGTAATGCACTAATGTCTGTGTATTTGTGTGTGCGCGTATCTGCGTCTGTGTGCATGTGTATGACTCCTTCTATCATCAAGTCCTTATACGATACGACTGGAACTTAGCCATACCTCTTTTTTTTTCCTTCTACTAGAAGAATAGCTTATATTTGTATTGTATATTTTTTTCCTTGACTCTGACACTAACTTTCTGACTGACATTTTTGTGTAGTTTTCACAACTGAAGAAACCATGTGGTGTTTTTCTGCTTTATTTTATTATTTACCAAAACTCTCTTATTTACCACTGCTACTTAGGTTCAGTCCTACAAGCCCCTGCTGGCTTCGACGAACCTGCCTAGTGCCGTCCTGAATACATCCTGCGTAAATAAATTTATTATTATTATTATTATTATTATTAAAGATTACTATTACTATTACTACTACTACTACTACTACTATTATTATTATTATTATTATTATTATATTTTAATAATAATATTTCCATGGGTTCTCGAAGAATTTAAAAGCTTTGGAGGAATGATTCGAGGTACGGGTTGTTTTCAAGGCAGATTTTCGGCCTGGCAAACTCACACCGTTTATCCAGGATAGGGAACAGGAGGGTACAAAGAGGCATATAGATCCGTCGACTGGTTTTAAATAGGAGGCTTTGTACGAAATTCCATTTGATTGTGATTTATGCTATGTGGGCCAGACATTCCACTGCATAAACGACGGCCTGCCTGAACATAAGAGATATGTGAGAAATAAGTGCCCAAATTCAGAACTGGCCAAACACATTGGTGAATGCAGTTCGTGTTCCCATTTTTGAAAGAGACCTTAATTTTGTTTAAAGAAAGAGACACGGATAAAAAATTATAAAAGAAATCTTGAGTATAGACGACCACGGTAGTTGGCTGAGTCAACCGTCTTTGTTGCTGCGGGAACGCGCCAGAGGCCTGTTCTTGCTTTGACTGCTTGCTGTTGCCTTGCTGTTGTTGCTTCGGTACCTTGGGGGTTTCCGGCGAGTGAGGGAAGGGTGGGGGGCTTATTTCATCTGTGGGCTGGCTCGCGCAGCCTAGAGGAAGCTTATCGTTCAAATCCTGAAGAACCGGTGGTGTTTCCGGGCGACGGTTCTAACTGTGGGAGGATGGTGTCTATCTGTTGTGCTCCGTCAGAGGGGCCATGAAGCGATATTTCAACTTATTCCTTCTTAGCTTTCCTCCTCAACTGACAAATCGCGCCATGTACCAAACAGTCCAAGAAGACGGAACGGAACGACTCCCCTCATGCTCGGACCCTCGTTCGTGTACACGGACACGGCCATGCTTTTCCTAAATTATCCCGTCACTCAAAACTCGAACAAAAGTTGCTTTCCCTCCTCCATCACCCCGAAGCTGACAGTGCTGTGGAAGCTACGTGCTCGTTGGGCCAGCGACACCTTTAACACGTGGTCACGCTCCCTCGCGTATACCCTCGCGCAGAGAATGGCGTAAGGGTATGAAAGGGAGACGGCTGATTGGTCCGGCAAGTCCATAGCGTCCACCGCACTGTCAGCTTAGGAGTGAAGGAAATAAGTTGGGTGCGGTGTCTTGTGACGTGCGTTTGGGCCCGGTGACGCGCTTTGCGTACCGCGGATTTATCACAATGAAAAAGCAGAGAGCTTACGAAGGGAACGATGTACGAAATACTCCGCTGTGTTTTCAAATTTTGGTACTGAAAATCAGGCTTTTGACATTCTATCCACTAAACAATATGCTAATGTAAAATGCCAATCTAAATTCAATTATTCCAGACAAAATTCGTTTCATTGGCGTTAAAGCGTTTCATGTGACCAATAGTTTAATAAACATTTACCCGACGTTCCGACAACAGTCCGATCTCTTTTTCGCGAATGAGTAACGGAAAGAACAGGCGTGGCTTAAAACGAGTGAAATGGGGGAACACGGCGCCCTACGTTTAGATGCCATGAACTTTCGAGTATCCGAAGAATGAACCGTCGAGGGTATATGTTCTTACGAAATTCGATGTTATGACCTTGATTTCCTTCTTGAGACTCTTCTTTGAACAGCAGGTGACGAAGGCGCGCCTGAAGAGCTCAGAGGCCACCGACGCTTTATGAAACCGGGGATGGTGGGAATGAAAACCAAAATATCTGCCAGGGTAGGTTGGCTTCATGGAAACAAAGAAGGTTAGCTGACTGCGAATCCTGGTTACCAGTACAACCAGAAAGGGAAGCGAACCTTTGTAATCGCGGGGGGGGGGGGGGGGTGTTTCTTTCCTTCTTCCTTTATTTCTGCTTTCGTGTGAACTTGTATTTATTGACGTCCTCCTGTGAATAATCCTAGCTGCGTTTGAAATTTTGTGTTGTTCTCTCCGTTTTTTATTTGTCCCAGTCTCACATTTTCATTTAATAATGTTTCCTAACCGGCTCGCCTGTGTATTGTATGTGTAAAGGGTACGATAGCTGAGGGGCATTCGTTTTGCCACGATGGATTGAAGCTATTCGAGCGCTCGTCAGCTTCATTTATTTTGACACAATGCACAATGTTTTTATGCAAAATAAAGCTAGAAAACAGCTAGGTGCAGGCCATGGAAGAGAGGTTGTGCTGCTTCCTTGTGTATTTAAAAGTGTTGTCAGTGACATGGTCCTATAGGAACCGCCGATGTCCACGTCGGTCATTCTGATGGACGAAATGCCTGGGGCCTTTTTCTCCTATTGTTGTGAACTCTGGTGCCGGAGGTTTGCATAGATGAAAATGCTCACGGCAGACCCGTGTCCCCTCACAGGCCACCCTGGACCGGCTGGAGACGGACGGACCCCTGCCGGACCCTGCCTACACTTTGTTGAACCGGGTCGGGCAGCCCAGCGTCAACCAGTTCCCGTTCGTTGCGTCGGGAACTGGTTGACGCTGGGTTAAAGAACACCTCCCCCGACGCTTGTTGCGTCGGGGGAGGTGTTCTTTAACGGACGTGTCTCTCGCACTTTCCTCGAGATCGGGGCTAGCCCCGAATGTGCTGTCCAGTACCAGTGGATTTTGTGCGAATAGAGCCAAACATTGAGCTGCCATTCTTTCACCCAGGAATTGGGTCATCGTAGCTAGCGTTTTTGTAAAAATAGAGGCACGCATAAGTCCTGTGCACAAGGCGTGTTCTGCAGGGCATGTGCAAGCCACGTGAAGGACTTGTATAATACTTGTCCAAGGCATGTGCATCGAATGCACAAGGCATATGCCAGGAATGCCACAAGACATGTACCAAGAATGACACAAGGCATGTGAAAGGCATATGCAAGAGCCTCGTCAGAGGCTTCCGTTTTACAGTGGGGAAGACGACGAAGTTTCTTAAGGTAGGAGCACTTAATCTTTGAACTCCAGAGTTTTTGCCCAATTTTGCCTGTTTCGGGGGCTTATGGCCCCCCAAAGGACGACGACGGAGCATGGGAACCCTCCCGGCACCGGAGCCAAGCATCTTCTGGTGGTTGGGACCAGAGCAGCAAGGCAGAGAACCGGAAAGAAGGCCTTGCCAAACGCAACCGCACCGACAGCCAAGCTAACCCTAATGGCAGCAGCTGACGCGACCAATGCAGCGACAGGGGTGAATCCACTCTACACGTTGAGAAAAGGCCTTTCGCTGACGAAGACTGCACTCACCCTGGACCAGAAATCCAGGGAAGACGATCATAACACCACAAGGGCTCCAAGCGACCCGACAACCAATGACGCCGAGCAACATCAGTTATGCCTGGTGAAGGCGATGCCGACGCTCGGTGAGGCGGCGAAAGCCGACGATCACCACATTCAACTTGATGCGTCGGGACACCCGGCACTCCAAAATTCGGAGCCTCCGAGCGCTGCCGATATGAATTGTCACCAAGCTTCGTGGAGCTCACGTGACCCATCAGGTGATGACGAGATGGACCAAGCTGCATGGTCAACCGTCGTCTCTAGAGGCGCCCGGAAGAAAGCGATAGCGCCGACACCCATGAAGAAACAACCGGGAGGTGATGGTGACAAACACGACACAGTCATTTTACGACCGCGTGAGCGAGTGCGTGTGACAGAGTTGTCGCCAAAAGATCTGAAGACTGCCCTAGCAAAATCTATTGACAACCATTCCAAGTACGAAAGGTGCTATCGAATTAGGATCCAAGAGGTCACTAATACCATTGCGGTGGACACCTGGTTGCCACACCTTGCGGAACACTTCTTAAAGCTGAAGACGATACGAACACCAGACAAGGAAATTTCAGTTTCCACATACCTCGCCCTGAATGGAAACCAGGTCAGAGGGGTAATTTACGGAATCGACCCAACCGACGACCCAGAAAACCTGCTACCGAACCTGGTCAGCACTACACACTGGATCCTGGAAGCAAGACCGATGGGCAAGAACAGTAAGACAGCCCTAATCACATTTGAGGGTAGGAGAACCCCAAGATATGTCACATACTACGATTGCATGAGGCAAGTATGTGCATACAGACCCCGCGCGGTTGTGTGCACGCATTGTCATGCTATCGGACACAAAGCGGACATCTGCCCTAACGAAGAAGAGCAGAGATGCCCGGACTGCGGAAGGGAACACATGCACGGAGAAGATGGGTGCATGGACACCTCCCCGCAGTGTAAGAACTGCAAGGGGGCCCACCTGGCCACGGATTCTTCCTGCCCCAAATGGAGGGAGGCCAACGAACAGCTTCGACAGAAGGGAAAAACGGGGGCGAAACCCAGACGCGACAGACGTCAGGCACCTCGATCAAGACGGTCTTCGGACACTGGGCCGAGGGATGAAAGCACGCCACGGGACCGTGCTGCGCAACTACCCAAGGGAGAAGAGATTCCCACGCCAACCCCGCCGCCAAAGACGGAGGGACACTTCCCAGCGCTTCCAAAGACGGCGATAGCGCCCGCAACAAGTACAATAGAAGAGAGAGAGGACGAAGATATTCCACGCATGGTTCAAGCCATGAAAGCAGCTCTCAAGGGGTCCAGGTCACGAGTACCGACTCGAGGGCAGATGGAAACAACAACCCAATGGCATTCCGAGCCGCTACAACACCAAGCCACATACACGGCGACAAACATATCCCAGGCAAGCTCAGAGAGAGACCAAGCATTGGTAACACGGGCGGAATTCAAGACCTCTATGGAGGGAATGATCGCCAGCATCAAGGCAGATCTCCAGAACACCATCATGAGCGTGGTCAGAGAGATCGTGCAAAATGAGCTTAAAGCCATGATAACACCAGTTCTGCATGAGGCTGTCCGCTCATTGTTCCAAGGACAAGAAAATAGTAGCAAACTAAACTCGTCAAGCACCAACACGATGAGCCACGACAGTCAAGATGGCTTCAACTAATAACAGGGCTTCAAATCGGGGCCAAGCCCCGAGGCCGCCATGTGTTGTTCAATGGAACTGTCATGGACTTGCGGGAAAAGTGAGTGAACTGAACAAACGTGTCTTAACTATAGAGAAACCAGTAGCCTTCCTGCTGCAGGAGGTAGGGGGTGTAGAAAAAACAATAGCGGGGTATAACGTATATATGACTCCGACCATACGGTACAAGAAACGGGGAAGACCGCGCAGGGGGTCTGATACGCCGAACGTGCCGGTAGCTAAAGGACAAGCAGCAGTGTTCGTAGATGATAAACTACCACAAGACCAGATCGATATGTCGCAATGGTGCAACGAATATCACGAAATTGTGGCAGTGCTGGTGAAAATCGGTGCTCGTTGGTTGGTGGTGGTGTCGGTTTATGAGCGCCCGGGATATAACGTACGCAGTAACGCGACCGCTTGGATCCCCCACCTGAAACTTGCAGCAGGGAAGGTACCAATCATCGTGGGTGGGGACTTCAATGCGACGCACACCATGTGGGGCTACTCCCGTGACTCACCCAAAGGCGTGGAAATAGCTGAAGCAATGACACTGAACTGTTTTAGACTCGCGAACGACGTAGATATGCCTACGCGAATAGGTATGCACGCAAAGCAGAAGGACACCACACCCGACCTCACCTGGGCAACTCGGAACATCGAACTCGAGTGGCAACTTTCAAAAGACTGTATGGGCAGTGACCATCTACCAATCACCGTAAGACTGACCCATTTCTCAACCGGCGTAAAAAAGCGGGTACACAAACGAGTGAAATGGGACAAATTCAGGGAAGCTTTAACTCAAGGGCTGACCGAGAGCGGGTTCACAGAAAGATTACAGGCAGCACTCAAGGAAGCCACACAAGACATAAAGGTCAAGGAAGGCGACCCGACACCGGATTCGCACCTTCTCAACCTATGGGCCTCCCGAATTGAAGCCCTGGAAAGATATAAAAATGAGGGCAAACCACCAGCATTGAGGGCAAAGCTCAATCTGGCGACGGCGACAGCGAAGAGGTACGCCAACCAACTTGCTAGGCAGCAATGGCAAGACCACTGTGACTCCTTCAACAGTAGAACGGGCCTTGACAAGACGTGGAGGACGTTCCAAGCTATGCAAGGCAGAAAAAAAAGCAGGACTGCAGCACAAAACATAGCGCTGGCACTGCGAGTTTCAGAAGAGCAAGTGGCAGCAGAAGCCGGACAACTCTTCTTCCCACAACCCGCAACACCCGCCCCACAAGAGACTTACAAGTGTCAATACTATGCTCCAGGGGATCCTGCCAGCGCCCCCTTTACTATGGGGGAGCTGATCTCGGCCCTAAGGCAATGCAAAACCAAGAGCACACCAGGCCCAGACGGCATTACCTATGCTCTCCTTAGGAACCTGCCAGACGAACATTCAGAGGAGCTCTTAATATGGATCAACCAAATCTGGACCACAGATCAAGTTCCAGAAGAGTGGAAGACGTCCTGGGTCATCCCGATTCCTAAACCAGGCAAGCCCACAACGTCGCTTGCTAACATGAGGCCCATTTCACTCACCTCGAATTTATGCAAGCTCGCAGAAAGAATGGCATTATACAGGATTCAGCACATTCTAGAGAACAATGGCACATTTCACTACACGCAAACAGGCTTCCGAAGACACCTCGGAACTCAAGATAGTCTTTTGATGATTTACACGGATGTGCTGGAAACACCTTCCAAAGTTGATCCACGCATCGTTGTAGCAATAGACGTCAAAAAAGCGTTTGACTCCGTACCACACAAGTCAATAATCGACAGCGCAGTGGCCCGTGGTATCCAAGGAGCACCACTCAACTTCATAAAATCCTTCTTGGAGGGACGGAAATTTACAGTCAAAGTGGGAAACACCGCAGGTCCAGAAACATCGAATGGGGTCGGAGTCCCTCAAGGCGCAGTCCTTTCACCTACGCTGTTCAACCTAGTCATGGCCGATCTCCCGCCTCGCCTGGCCCGGATCGAAGACCTCTGCTTCACTATCTATGCAGATGATATCACAATCTGGACCAAAGTCGGAGCGGTTGGAAGACAAGAAGAGGTACTACAGGAGGCACTGGACACCATCGTAGAGTTTCTGGATTCCGTAGGCCTGTCTGCAGCACCCAATAAGACCTCATACATAGTGGTGGGCAACCGACACATTCAATCCCAGACAGAAACACAGAACATACGCCTTACCATGAAGGGAGATGAAATAGAGAGAGTTGAAAGTTTGAGGATTCTCGGACTATTCCTCGATCAAGACGGAAGGCCCCATACCTGGATGAAGGGGGTAACGAAAACCTGGAAGAGCACGCTGCACTTAATCAGAAGAGTGGCCACGAAGAAATGGGGAGCCACAGAAAGGGTAACACGTACCCTAGCTCTGGCGCTTCTGACTTCGAAAGCGCTCTATGCATATAATTACAATAGACTTACGCAAACACAAGTCCTAAAACTTGAAAGGCTCAACAGGGAAGCTATGAGAACAATTAGCGGACTTCCAAAATTCGCAAAAATCGAAGACCTGCACGTTCACTCTAAGCTCAATACTCTCAAGGAGCGGGCAGACGCACTCAAGGACGCGCAACTGGACCGACTCAAGACCACAGAAGCGGGAAGAGCCATATTGCGACATATTGGTTACGCAACGGATCACCTTCCGACGCTCCCAAACCGAAGCCTCGAAGATACAACCATGCAGCTTACTACATTTGCCCCACTGGCTCGCAACATGGGGAAGGACCACGAAAAGCGGCGGTTCCAAAGAGTCATGGATCACATCGACTTTGTTCGAGAGTACAGCAGAGATTTTACCAACCTGTACGTATACACAGATGCTGCACTACGAGGAGACGGACAAGGAGCCATTGGATGGTTCATGTTAAACTCCCAGATGACATGCAGCCAAGTACTTAAAAGTGAATGTAGCCTCAAGGAAGCCGAGCTACAAGCTATACTGGCAGGAGCCAAACAAGCGGCCACACACTGCAACAAGACAGAAGCCCTTTATAAACACGTATGGGTATTCACTGATAGTAGGGAGGCACACGCAGAATGCGACAAAATTGACACCTATAGCAACACCGTCCAACAGCTGCGAGAATTAGGCCAGCAATTTGCAGATGAAGGACGCGTCCTTCGAATTGGATGGGTACCGGGACACTCCGGCATATATGGTAACGAAGAGGCCGACAATGCTGCCAGAACGGCGCTTGAGGCTGCGCCTGCGAGACCAGACCAGGAGCAACAGGAACAATGTCAAGAAGGTGAAATTAATGTCCTCCCCTTCGACCCCGACGAGTTTCTGTCCCTGGGAAGGACGAAGAGGCGCAAGACACTGAAAGATCTGGTCCCTCAAGATCCGGACGGCGAATTACCTGCCGAATTCAGCCGGAGCGACCGCGTTATTCTGCGCCGGATCCGCGCCAACACGGCAATAACGCCTGCCCTGCAGGCTAAGCTGGACAGAGCCAGACGAGCCCGACATCCCGATGACCCCGGGCCGGTTATCGACGGTGACTGCACTCGATGCGGGAGCAAGAGTCCAGCAACTATAATACATCTTCTCTGGGAATGCAGAGCGACTGTACGCTCAAGGCGGGCCACCATATACAACCTCCCCGCTTGTCATCGACCCAAAACTTTCGTAGAGTGGACGCGACCAGGGGGCGACATACAGCACAGAAAGATTGTGCTGGACTCTCTGCTTAAGTTCATTCGAGAAGCCGGTATCCGGCACTATTTTTAAACATTTCATCCTCATCGTATTCCCCATCTCTCACCCCTCATCTTCCCCACAAATGACGTAAGGTCAAGGTGGTGAAAAAATCATTAAAATACGTCTTAAACAAAACAAACCGTTTTACAGTGGTAGCTGTTAGTGCTCCTTTCCGGCAAAGAGTGGTTATATATGAACGCAAAAAGCCACTCTACAGCAGAGTCACTGCTCTTCATCTCCTCGTCATTCCTCACAAAAGGCAAGGCTCTCTCTCTCGCCCCCCTTTCCCTCCCACCTCCCTTCCCCTTGTGAACCTTGCTGTTTCAAAAAACCCACGTCACCACGGGGAGACCGCTCTTCACCACCCCATAATTCTGCTACATCCACATACCTTCCCGCAACGCCCTCTCTTCCTCCCCCCCCCCCCCCCCTCCGGCAGGCAGCTCCTATTGCATAAAGGCCCACAAGGTCCCGCTGCCCGGACACGTTTCCTCGTCACCACCGGCATCCGCATCGTCATCATCACTGATGACGTCCTCGGTATTTGCATCGTCATTGTCACTGATGACGTCATCAGTGACGTCACTGATGCCGTCATCGGCATCGTCACGTGACCCCCCAAGGTCACGTGACCCACCCCCCCCCCAGTACCCTTCCCTCCTCCTCCTCAAGAGCTGCGCTCAAATTCGGCGTTACAGGGAGTTGTAAACGGCTTTCACTTTTTTTTTGCCTCCTACCGCACCCGAGCTGCGTGTTTGTCCTGACCGTTGCCCCTTTTCCCCACTCTACAGCACTCAGAAGCGGCCGCTGTGGTTCGTCTTCACGGGGATGGGCTGCCAATGGAACGGCATGGCCCGCCAGATGATGCAGTTCGACGTGTTTGCCGACTCCATCCGGCGCTCCCACGAGCTCCTGGTGCCCTTCGGCATCGACCTCATAGACCTGATCACCAGCGATAACGCCAGCAACCAGACAATGATGTCTCCCTTTGTCTCCATCGCCGCCGATCAGGTAAGCAGAACCCAAGCTCCCTTTCTAAATTGGGGCTCTGTATAGAGAGCCCCAATTTAGAAAGAAAGCTTGAGCGGTTTTTTTATAGCGAAGAAAGAAGAAAAAACATTTTCGGAGAATTCGGGTTTTACTCTTTCCGGCGTGTTATTTAATATCTCTTAATTCGGAACAGCTAATCAGAAAACGGCAAATGAAGCTGATGTTAAATCCATAATTCTACATTTTCCCATCTCCAGTGGGGCGACGTCGTTTTCGTTCGATTTTCAATTTACAATTTTCTACACCGATGCAGGCTGGCGCAGACAAATCGAACGAGCCCATCACATATTCTAGTGCTTTACGCATGTTTTTCCGTCTTGATGGCATGAGCTTATAAACAGCATTCGCTTCACATCACCAAACTTCTTGTAACATGTAAGGAACAATTACTCTGCTGCACTCATACTGTCCCGTTTCATAACATCTAACATTTTTTGAGCTATGCGTTTTGTAGCAAAAACAACAAACACCAACTTTTTAGAGAAGAAATATCTTGTTTTGCTTAAAATGGAGAATATTAGGTGAACCAAATAGACCCGGGCAACGGCTTGTCCGTAACGTCACATCCGCCCGCGATGTCAAAATGCCCTCCGAGCCCGACCGTAAATTCACCCCTGGCCGGAGTGCAACTGCACCGGGGAGGTAAAGACGGGAGCAGAACATGACTAAGCGCCGACATCTGTGGTCCCGAGAGGAAGAGAGAGAAAGAAGGATGGTTGAAATTTAAAGAAAGGAAGGAGACAATAGGTAAAGGCGTGTTCGTTTCGCCATGACGAGTTGTTAGAGTGCTTGTCATCTCTGTTTAATTTTGTACAATACACGATGCCAGCAATATGGGCCCACTGCGACCACCGATGTCTGTCTGTGCCCCTCCGTTCCGAAGCGGCAGAAATACCTGGGACTTTGCCCTTCTACATAATTATACATTACCTCTATAAGCCACGCGCGTCTGTTTTCCGTCTTCTTGGGCGTAATTAGCAGGACGGGACACGTTGCGCTTCCCCGCAGGTGGCGCTGGTATCCATGCTGAAGGCGGCGGGGGTGGAACCGGACGGCATTGTGGGTCACTCGTTGGGCGAGATCGGCTGCGGCTTTGCCGACGGTGGCTTCACGGCCGAGCAGACGGTCCTGTGCGCCTACTGGACCGGGCGCTGCGCCGAGCTGGGCGACCTGCCCAAGGGAGCCATGGCTGCCGTCGGTCAGTCTTTTCTTCTCTGAACGGGTCGTTGTCTTCAGGTTGTCAGGTCTGGACATGAGGTTTATGTGTGCTGTCGAGGCTGTTGGCAACTCCCTTAAGTACAAATACACCGATGTCTCGTTAGCATTGTGCAAAAAGTGGATTTTGAGTTCGAAGCAAATTCGAAACAAAAAGTGGCTTTGGCCTATTATTTTCGAGTGGAATGTCGTCGAAGAGTTTCTCCGAGGCATTCACTACCGTGCACCGTGCCTAAACAAAAATGCAGGTTTAATGGGACTCACAGAAATCTCTCAAACAAAAATAAAAAACTGCTCCGGGCCGCAAAACTTTCTGTGCATTCCATTGCTGAACATCGCTGGGCAGCGTATCTTTCAGCCGCTGCTGAATGCAAGGCAGGTTTTAAAGAGGCTAAACTTTGTTTCTTCAACAGTACCTTGCCCTCCATGTTAATAATAATAATAATAATAGGCTTATTTTCTAACAAAAGGTACAGTGTTGGTGGGGGCTTTGGGAAAAAGCTGTTTGTACAGCTGAACTAGTCCTAAGCCCCCATAACTTCAGCAGCTACAAGCAGCGTGCAAGGAAAGAAGGAAATACACTGAGAACACTAAACAAAAAAGAGATTGAACAGTTGGGAATGAGATATATTAAGCTAAAGAAGATAAGCAGACACTATTCGCGTCTCCAGCTCGACGCTCGCCCTCCCGCGGCGGAAACGGGAAGCGCTCTAGTGAGGGTCCCCCGATTCTCCTGCTCAGCGGGCGTGGCGGAACTGCTCGCAATCATGGCTCGCGAAATGTCGTTTCCGAATGCAAACAACACTCTTCACTGTCCCAACGTAGTGCTGCAGCCGGTATGTGATTGTACCTTACTGGAGAGTTTTAGTATTGCGCATAGAAGCAAACGCAAGCGGTGTGCGTTTGCGTTAGAGTTGCGTGCCCCACGTTGTGCGTGCGCCTCATCGCCACGCGCCATCCAAGACCGCGATTTCGGGCTCCGCGCACGCGCAGTGTGGAACGCGCAAAGCTAACGCAAACACACAGGGCTTGAGTTCGCTCGTATACGCAATATTAAAACTCACTACTGTTTTACCGGCTTCCAACGCCAACGAAACGTGCTGCAGTGCGCAGACGTGCAAGCAGGTAGGCGTTCCTTCGAACTGGAAAGGCTGAGATTGGCAAAACTACGGCGAGTAAATACAAAAGTAAATAAATGTTATGAAAAAACTAGTAATCAAAAAAAGGTTTTTTTTTAACTTTTGGGTATTTGGTCTGGAAGTATATTGGCGGCGACTTTGAACGTTTCGCCGATTGTCAAAAGTCGCGACTTTGATAGCACAATATACTTTACGCACAATTGAAGTAATTTTACATGGATTTAATTAGCTAGAATGTTTTCATTGATTTTAGTCTTTTTTATTTTATTTGTAATTAAAATGAAGCAATTGGAACCAGTGATGATAATTAGCACAGTTTTCATTATCATATTTCTTCGCGCGTTTAAAATTAGATCATAAGCAACAAATTATATTAGAGCTTGAAGAATTACTTATTCAAATATGTGAATTTTAATATTATTATCATTAATACAAATCGCGGCAATGTATTCCTCTAATTAACGCCAAGATCACGAGAATGCTCTTTTTAACCATAATAGTCTTTCCAGAAAGGTATAATTTTGTTTTCTTTTTAGCATATGAAAAACTCTGACATAGTTATCAAGATAGATAACAGTCAAACGCTGGATGTAATATGAAGTTCAACGCGTCACGCGGTGCTATAAAAACACACACACACACACACACTTCAGCTGTCTGACTCGGATTCCGTCTTGGGTTGTTGCAGTGAGAGCAGCGTTTATTAGTTTATGCGTTTCGTGGACATATCGTAAAAATCGGAATTATTCACTTAGTCTTGTGCTGATATAATTGTCATTATTTCCCATGACAATTATCTGAGCGAGAAAAAGACAGCGAGAACGCACAGATATCAGCACTGATTTTTACAACAACTACGAATATCAGCCTGGATCGAACAGTATGTCACAAAATAAAGTTTCCGCGAACAACTTTTTTAAGTAAATAATTACGATGTGAGACACATCTTGAGTCATGAAAGAATTCGAAATTAAAACCTCTGTCGAGAAATTAAATCCAAAATAGAGGTAAGTTTCTGTTTCGCTCCAGAATTAAAACGCGCATCCTTCTGTAATTAATACGCTAAACACCGTTCTTGTTTTCAGGTTAAAGAGGTGACCTGCGCTCATAAAACATTAGCTTCCTCGTATTGCCAGAAATAATTTATGTCGCTCAGTGAAGCCAGCACACTAGACAGGCTCAACAGCGGCACGCATCTCTGACCCTCACTAAACCCGCCATCTTGAAAAATGAGTGGCGCCACCTATAGTTAGTTGGAGTCGCGAATAGCAAAACGCCACTTGCATGCATCGTTCAAGGCACTGTAACAAAATATTCTGGCATACAATATTTAAGAGTAGACAAAACGAGCACCGCCCCACATCATTGAAGGAAAAACCAGAAAAAATGGTCTACGTTAATTAATTGTACATTATACAAAACACAAGCATATTCCCCTTTACAAAATATACTAGAAAAAATACACACAAAGGCGCCGTTTAATCGTGGCCGATTTGCCCAGAGAGTATCACGTCCCGCAAGGTACGTACCGATAGCTTGTCAAGTTCTATGTTGTGCATATGAACGTGGTTAAGGATGGTCGGTAGTGTGTATGCTATATATAATGGCCGTAATTTGTTCTAAAAAGAGGCACTTGCCATCGTGGCAGAATGCGCGTTTGGTGCGAGTGTACTCTTTGTGTTAGATTCGTTAAATATTCAAGATGATGTACATGCATGTTTTTTTTTTTCAACCATATATTTTGCGCAAATGCGATATCTATGCAAATCAAAAATTTTCATTACACCCAGTGAAGTGAAAAGTGAATGCATTGTATATTCGAGTACAAATTTGCAAATACTTCTTAATATCTTTTTTTTGCAAAATGAAATTTTTTTTGTAGCTTGTAAAGGTAGATGTGCCCCACACTAGGTGACCATAGTTTAAATGGGAATAAAATAATGAATTATATATTACCAACTTTACCTTAAGTGAAAATATGTGTTTATTACGATATATCAAGCCAACAATGCTAGACAATTTGGATATACTGTAATTAACGAGATCATCTCATGACATTGTCTCTAAGAAAAAATAACCAATGTTTTAAAAGACGCGACAAACTGAATTCTAGAAGAGCTTAAACTTATGGCCTTGTTTATGTCAACTTAATTGTTTATTCTTTGGGCGAAATATCACTGCCTTAGTCTTATTTATGTTTATTTTTAAAGCGTTAGATTTGCTCCAATTCGCTAGTGTTTCTAGCGTATCATTCACGGTATCTATGAGATCTGATGTGGTATCACCTGTAAAAAATAAACTGGGGTCGTCAGCATAAATAATTAACTTCGTTGATCGGCGATATTTACAATGTCATTTACGTAAAGGTTGGATAAAAAAGGGCCAAAGATGCTTTCCTAGTGAACGCCTGACCGTATAGATTTTATTGCTGACGAATGACCATTAATATGTACGTATTGCTGACGGAAAGACAAATAGGAATTTATAACTAGTAACAATTGACCACGGAAGCCATGCATTTCTAATTTTTAAATAGCAAATCATGATCAAGATAGTCAAAGGCTTTCATAAAGTCAATGATTACATCGAGAGTTTGCTCTTTATTTTCAAAGTTCTTGAGAATATATTCTTTCTGTGCAAGAAAAGCAAATTTAGTGGACCGCTGTCTGCGGTAGCCAAGTTGAGGTGGACTTACTAGATTATGATTATCTGCAAATTAAGTCATTTGTAGTAGTAAAATTAGTTCAAAGCCCTTCGAAAACACTGGCAAAATTGAAACCGGTCTATAGTTACCTAGTTCATCTTTATTGCCTCTTTTATTTAAAAGCTTTACTTTTGCCAGTTGCATTTACTTGGGGAACACGCCAGTTTGCAAGGAGAGGTTGATTATATGAGTCAAAGAAGGGGAAATAATATCTATTACATACTTTAGAGGCTTATCTGAAAGCCGTCGGCGTCACAACTTGTACTAGTGAAAAATACGACATGACAACTTGTACTGTTTTTAAGTGCACTGAAGACAGATATTACCTTTTAATCAGTAACGGGACTAAGGAAAATGAATGCACAATATCGACAATCTATAAACTTGCAAGAATCTGGGTCTGGGGTGTCTTTAACTAAATTCACGAAATAATCATTGAATACATTTTCTAATGTTTTTGCTGTTACTCATCACATTTTATCGTTTCTACTTGTTTCGGGGTACATGTACGATTTAGGACAGAGTTTAGTTTTTTTTATACAATATCAATTCTATTATCACACGTCAAAACCAAATGAGCAGAATATGGTTCTCAAACGTTTCCAAGTTCTCTGTTTAACTGGGTGCGCAGCAATCTTCAGCAATTTTAGAATACTGTAAACCCCTCGAAGGAAATCTTCCTACAGCTAAGAAACATTGACGGTGAAATGATAGAAACAAGCGACTGTGCAGCTTTATTAAGAAAAAAATTCACTGAGTCCTTCTCTAGTGTAGATGACTTTGACTATCCTGATTTAAGCCGGCCGAGTATTGGTATCATGGACCCCATTGAAGTTGAATGTATCGGAGTTCTGAGAATTATTGATGATTTAAAAATGTCGTCATCAAGTGGTCTGGATAATATTCATTCAAGTTTCTAAAAAATACTTCAATGTACTCCTCTATTGTTTTGACTAAACTTTTTCGTCAATCACTTGAACTCGGCACCATCCCGGAAGACTAGAAAACGGGGAAAGTGATCCCTATCCATAAAAGGGGCGATAAATCCTGCTCTAATAGTTACCGTCCAATCTCGTTAACAAGCATTCCTTGCAAAATTTTAGAACACATAATATATTCCCACCTCGTCAAATTTCTTAACGCGCATAGATTTTTCACCC